ATGATTTTATTATATCACAGTTAACATATTAACGTCAAACTCAAATTTATGTCAAACTTTTAGTAAAAAAATAATTTTAAAATATATTAATAGCTAGTTATATGATTATTTTATAATTTTTAATAATTAAAGATTTAATAAAATAATATTTTATAATCCAAAGATTATTTTATAATTATAGATAATTTAAGATTCAACAAATCAATACATACTTCAAATACCATTAATGTATTTTACCCCGGGATAAAATAAACAGATTTAACCTGCTATCGCCGTCAGAGAATGCATAGAGCGTTTCTTGAAGGAGAATCATGCATTCCAGCAGCCAATGATGTTATGGATTTTGCTACAAGTTCTTCGTCTTATTTCCGAAACTATAGTACTAGTATATTTACTTAAGTAATTATACAGCTAGGATTAGGCAGTGAATGAGAGCGGCCAAATATAAGTAAAGAGACAGGCTGAGAGAGAGAGAGAGAAAAGGGGAGATCAGGGGACACCCCACACGTTCTGTGAAGGAGAAAAAAGAGGGGGAATCTTCAATCATGCCATCAGGTTCTAAGAAGAGAAAGGCTGCCAAGAAAAAGAAGGAACAAGCTGCCACCAACATCAATTCACCTCAAAACATCCCACATGGTACTTTGCTTTGCTTTTTTTTGGTTGGGGGTGGGGTTTGATGATGGGTTCTTTTGCTTGTTATCCATCTACCGATGTGCTCACTTCTTTAATTACTTTTTTTTAGATTTATAGTTGGAGTAATAATCAGCTTGGTTTGAATGTTTAATAGCTAATAGTATTAATTTTCTAGTTCATACCCTTCATTAATTGATTTGGTCGCTTTTCATTGGGATTATCATTCTTTAATCACATACTGTTTACTTTAAAATTTCTCTCTCTTCTTTACCTTTTTGAGATTTTCTGGTTTTACGTTCTTTTTACTTGATTTTGACCTGAATTGTTGTTATTAATCAACGCTTAATAAAATTTAAAACTCGTCACTCAGTTTTCTGTTTTGTTTATTTGAGTCATCTCAAGAGGAGACTGGTTAACTCTTGCTTAGTGATTAGAAGTATTCTGACTTTATCAAATGGTGATAGGAAATGGGGATCCAAGAAGCCAAGGTGAAAGGGAAAGTGATGGCGGTGATGTTGATTCCCCTGCATCTCAGGATGACCACAATCACCAGCATCCATTCAACCAGAGGGAAGAAGGGAAAAGGGAGCATTCTGCTATGCAATCACATGCAGCCGAGGAGAAGTATGCGGAACGGGCCATTGGGAATGCGGAAAACACCGTGATATCAGGATTCAATGATGTTGTTGCTGTTAAAATTGAAAAAGAGTCGGAACCTGAGGAGAATCTTGAGAGCACACTGCATGATAAGAGCTCTAGTAGCAGTAGTAGTAGTTCTGATGATGAGTCTAAAGCCTCTGAGAAGAAGTCAAAAGATGAAGCCTATAATTTTGGTTCTGAATGACCGCATATGGCAATGACGATAAGCCTATTAGTGTTACGTCTGAAGAAGTCCTGAAGGTTGTTGAAAATGCAGCAGTCAGAAATGTTGGCAGTAATTCTGCTGCGGGAACTGCCGATGTTGACAATTTGATAAAAACTGCTGTATCTGTGCAAGAGGAAGTGGATCATGCTACAGAAGTTTCTGCAAACAAATCAGTGCTTGATGTTGAGCCAGGGTTGAATGGAAGTGAAGAGAAGTTATTGCCCTCCTCAAATGGCGTCTCTAGGTTTGAAAATGAAGGAAAAATTTCCTCATCCTCCGTTACTTCTGCTGAAAGTAGTACTGTGGTGAACAAAACTCAACATTTTGAATCCCATGATCATTCTGAAAAGCAGGTATATCTGGCCTCTTTTCCCCAAAGTCGTGTGTTCGACATTCCTTTTTAAGTTGGCTTACAAGTTTTTTTGTTGAATTGGTTCACAGCCTGTTGTTGCTTCAACTCCACCCATGGTGCAAAGAACCTCAGTGTTAAGTTGCTGTGGATTGTTTGATGTTTTCAATGATTCTGGAAGATAATTGCAGGTTTGGGTTATTCATTGAGCTTCAGAAAGTGTAGTACTTTCCTTTATAATTTTCAGTACTGCATATTCGGATATGCTGGGTAGCTCATATCCTCTGTGCATGCGAATCCCAAGATTATATAACTGCAACTTGATATCTGGAACTTAATGTTTGTTAGCTATCTGGTATTCGTTTGCTATCTTCATGGCCTTGACTTTATTGTCCCTTTATAATTTTCAGTACTGCATATTCGGATATGCTGGGTAGCTCATATCCTCTGTGCATGCGAATCCCAAGATTATATAACTGCAACTTGATATCTGGAACTTAATGTTTGTTAGCTATCTGGTATTCGTTTGCTATCTTCATGGCCTTGACTTTATTGTCCCTTTTTTGTTCCTTCATTGTTGAACTAATCACAAATTCATCCTGGTTGAACCAAATAGACTCAGTGAATGATGAAAGGCCACTTGGTAGCATGTTCAATTATCTCTTTGGTCGATATTGTTGTATAGTAAATATTTGTCTGAATAATATTTTTATTTTCTTCACATATCCCCTACAGAACTCGGTAAATTTTTGCTTGCACAATGCCTGGAGGCTATGCGTGAATCGATTGCCTCCCTATTCAATTAGTGTTCATCTTGCTGAGGGCATTTTTATTTTTTTCCTCACCTCTATTTCCAATTTGAAAGTTCAAATTTTAATGATCGGGATGTCTATGTGGAGACACACTTCCTTCCAATTTCTAGTAGTGTCTAATTATATACCAGCTGGATCTTGTCTGATACACTGTTTTCTTTTTAATGCAGAACAATCTGTCCATGGGGAGTTTGGTAGACAAGCCGTTTGTCAAAGTTGCTAATGGTTTTGGTTTCTATACATCTATTTCATTTCAACGCCCAATGATTTCTTAAAAGAGTAATGTGCAGCAGACCTAGCTAGAAAAAACAGTTGTACGTTTTGTGGATGCAGATAGTCGCTAGTTGTTCGTTCCTAGCTTTGAGTATATTCTTTTGTTGGCACTTTTGCGACCTAGTTTCTTAGCTAGGTTTGTGCTGAATCTTGTTCTTGTTTCCGGATTTCGTGGACTAGTTTCCTTAAAGGAGCATACTAGGGTTTTTGAGTTTAAACTCAACATGGTTGCTATGTAGGTGTCGATATCGTGAATTTTTACTCTGTTTCAAAAAATTAATAGTTGTGTTTCTTTGCTAAGACCAATAATAGGTGTCAGATTACTGCTTTATAATCATGGATTGTGCATGATTGAAGACTTGTTTCATGAACTTTTCATTGCTTCAAGGAGAAACTTGACCTCGACCGCTCGGTTTGAAACTGAAACGTTTTTCTTGATCGATTAAGATGAAACCAATCGAATTAATGTAAATGTGATTGGTTTCGATCGGTCAGGTAAATGGGTTTTTAATTAATTAGTTCTACTTAAAAGAATGAACTTTACTGCATTTTTTAGTTCCACTTGAAAGATAACGAAGAATTGGGAGATCGATGTAAGCTTGTCATTGCACCAGAATTTTTATGGCAATAAAATCCAATTAAATGGTTGATACCGTTCATGGCATGTCGGTGTAGCATCAGTAATAGCATTCGACCGTATCACACCAGTTACATCTAAAGAATCAAATGACTGCAAAAGAGAGTTCCATGGCAATAAAATATACAAAATGAAGACGCAATCACATAGCCTTAACCATGTTTTCAGCTTTATGCGCCGCCTTGAATTGCTGCTATGTAGAAAAGTTGTGTAACTGTAAGGATGATTATAAATGCTTCCATTGTTATCTACAAAAGAAGAGATGATTCACATTAGCCGACATGTAAGATGAAGAGTTTGGCTGAGTTGAGAACACCGGAGTTCTAAATTCCGTTCGTACCAGACGAGCGTTCCTGACTTGGAGCTCAATTTCTTTGCATGCAAATCTACCAAAGATTTCGAGTTAGTTTGGAAACAAAGCTTGTGTGTGCAGATGCCAGAGTTACGAGGCTGACCCCATGGCAAGTAAAGTAAGAGTCCAAGCGACGCAAGCTATAGAAGCTGCTGACGGCAAGCTACCGGCATGCCATGAATGGATATGGTTGGTACCAGCGATTACTGATGCTACACCGACAACCCCTGCTGTGCGATGTAAAGAAACTATCTAAATTAAAGCCCTGAACATACATAGTAGGCAAATATTTGAAAGGTGACGTACCGATGATAAAACCATTATCAATAGCTTTGTTGACGGCCCATGAGCCAATCCCCAAAACAATGGCATACATGCAGAAGTTAAGGAACAAAAGCAGAGCAGCAACGGGTTTCATTTGAGCATTGGCCATTGCCTCTTTTTGTCCGATGATTTTAAGACAAAAAGCTGTCGAAAGAAGAAGAAATTAAAAGATGCAATATATCAGGCACATGTGATTTGTGAATGTGGGAGGGGGGTAATATATATGCCATCAAAATGATGTTTGGTTCTTTTCTTGCAAAGGCCAGCTGCGTGGTAGGTTTGTAAAGAGCATGTTTTACGGTCAAGGCAAGGCAAACCTTCAAAACATGAAACTTGATACTTTTCCCTTTAAAGAGTCGAAAATGATTTTATAGACAAATATTAATTTTTTAAATATACAATAATGATCAAATCAAGTTTAGTTATTTAAATAACTTCAATAATTCACGCATTTTACCTATGCGAATGCATAAATTCTTTTTGTATGGGGATGTATAGTTCCATAGTAAAAATGGATTTCAACGAGTCAATTTGAATATCCATGGTCCCTTGAACAAAAAACACTAGCAACAAATAAGGTGTCCAGATGCTAAAAGAACTACTGAGATGACAATGGCAAACAAATTAAGAGGAAAAACAGCAACTAAAATTTGCACCCATAATCCACTTAACCAAAATAAGCATGAAGCTATACTACATAAAAACATAAAAGAGGATAGTTGTACCTGTATTAGATAGGGGGCTAAACTCATAAATGCATAGAAAGTGCTTTAAAAATATATTAGGACATAATTGTACTTGAAGTAATAACTCCATGATACAAAGTCTTGGTTGAAAATGTTATTGTCATCTAAAACAACAAAATTATCCAAATTTTGCTAAACAAAGCTTCAATGCTAAACATAACAACTACAAGCTTATGCTCATTCATCTTCTTGGCTGTGCAGCCTGGAAAGCTTGTTCGTAACAACGACATCAAGCTGTGCTGCCCGTTCAACGATCTGTTTTCTCTTCTTTGTCGAAACATCATGGGCAATCTCAGCACAGTATGTCCTGACGAGCAACAAAAAGAGAAATTTGAACAAAAACATAAAAGACAAATACATAAGATGATTGTATACAACACAGTATGTTAGATTACCTGTTGTGCATCATCAAAAGTTCAAGCTCTCCAACATTGTGTACAACAAATTTCTTAAAACCATTTGGAAGATAATGTCTTGTCTTCTTGTCTGAACCGTACCCAATGTTGGGCATCAGAGTGCATCCCTTGAACTTTCTTCTTACACGAGAATCAATACCCTTTGGTCTGCGCCAGTTCGTCTGTAACAGCACCAACAAAATAAGTAAAAACGAGTTTCTTACTTTAAACTGTAAAGCATGGAAAACAAGCTTAGAAAACAACATAAAAGCAGAACAATGTGACCAGGGTTTTAGTAACAGAAAGCTTGTGTGAAAAAATAACTGTGTCGCAAGAACTGTTCAAAATTTTATATTTGCCCTCAAAACAAAATGCCCAGCTACAAATATATAAAATCTGGACATCAGATACCACAGGCAAGACGCTCTGAGAGAAAACTCTTTAAAGAAGTGAAGCAAATTGAAATTAAACACGGTGAATTTAGTATAACATATACCAAATGTATAGTGTGTGTTTTTTCTGCTGGAAGGATATACAATCTCAGCCAAAAGATGGTGATTATTTATATAATCACCACAGATCAAGCCAATGATAATTTTTTCATCATAGCTTGCTTGGAAATGGAAGAAAAACGAAACTACAGCAATTAAATCAATTACCAAAGATGGTTGTTTTAAAGAAGCAAACTTTAGAAAAAATAACTTAAGAAATCTACAAAAATGAATAGTTTATTTTGATAAAATGGATCAAATTAAAAGTCCATTGATATCACCATCTTCCATCAATAGATGAAAGTATGGCTGGTTGTCAAACAAAAATCATCACTTCCACTAACAAAGTGAAAAGTTAAAAACAATGTCAACCATAATTGCAGAAGAAGCAGAAGACCCGTGATAATACGTGGATCAAATAACCGAATGAAACTGATTCCACATTTTACATCACAGCGGTTCGTGTCAAAGTTTTATCTCTCTAAGCACATTAACTCAAATTCAATTTAAACCCCACAAAATATTAGGTAGATCAAACTTTTGCAAGCAGATAAAAGTTGCTAAATAAAAGATGGGAAAATTTAAAAAACTGAATGGAAATAGAAAATTTTGAACATACCTTAACCGAGATTTTGCGGTCGCTCTGGGGTCTCTTGAACTGCTTGACCCTCTTCTTCACGATTTTCTTACTTAGAAGCGGCACCGCCATTTCTTCTTCTCCTCCTCCTTCTTACCTCTATTATTACCAAAGACCAAAACAACTGTTTAAATTGCAGAACTAATTGAGAAATATCTCAAGAACTACACTCGAAATTTATAAATAAAGAAAAAAAACAATGAAGGCGCCGATACTTACTCAGAAATTAGGGTTTTGGGTGGACCGCCTCGTTCTAGAGTTGTTGCGGCTTATATATGTGTTTAGAGTTATGGCTCTGAGGGTTTGTGTATTTCGGTCCTTGAGCCATCGTATAATTCCTCAACTGGGTCATAGGGTTACCTTTTAGGCCTTTTTTTTTGCCCATTACCGTAAATAGAAAAAAAATTAGGGTTTTCGGGCAATTGTCTTTTAATTAGGGATCTTCGGGTCTAATTGGACTAGAATGTTACAATCTTAAGTAATGTGAGAAATTTTCATTTCATAAACTTTTTTTTTTGCCTATAAATACGTGTTTGGTAAAACTTATTTTACTAGTCTATAACAACCTTAGTTTTTCACTTCCAAATCTTGAGTTTTTTTGCGAACATGACAATTATTCGTGTAACTATTTTTTATGATTGCAAATCTTTAATCATGTGTCTCAAAAAAAATTCAACTAAATGAGTTGAAGTTCAATATACAAAGAAGGTTTCAACTGGGTAGCAGTAGAATAATATCTTTATTATATTATAGAATTCTACTATCATGCATGAGATTTCATCTAAGTGATGATATCAGCCTTGCTGGTATGATTGAGACATACTTCAATTATTCTTTGCCTAATGTTGATTTGTTTGTAGAGTTCGATGATCTTGACATTGCTTTTACAGTTGAGGATACTGCTTCCAGCTCGAACATCCTAACAACTGAGACAAATGACGAAGCAACAAACATAGATGATGGAGACCCAGAAGCATGGTTCCAATTTGCACGTGAATGACAACAAGAAAAATCATAGAGAATTGAAGAACTTAATATTACTTCTGAAGAGTGTATTGATTACGAAGTGTAGCACAACATAACGAATAATGCAACAAATGTTTATGAATTTATGATTTCATTTGACAGTTTAGTGTGTGTAAGGTTTGTCTTTTTTACGTCCTTAAGGTAATGTATTAACAGTGTTGTAATATTACTTTTTAATATGCATTTCTCATGGTTTGTTATTTTTTCTCCATATATCAGTATGATCGTTCAAACTCCTCGCATTAAGAAGATAAAAGAAACAACTGAATATGACCACTCGAATCACGTAACCTCATTATTACGAATTTATTATTTAAATATAATATTAAACAAAAAAATCACGAAAAAAACTTAAAAAAACTAAAGTAATCAGTAGTATCTTCATTGAACTCGTCACCTTGAGATAACGAGTTCCAACGCCTTTTTTCAATTCTAATTTTAAGTATATTAAGGTGACGAGTTCCTTTAAAATATTATTATATTTTTTTCAATAAATAAGTTTCATAGGTATTAAAAGTCAATGTCCTAAAACTCTAATTTTTTCCTGTTTACGTTAATGGGCCAAAAACACTTACCATTTTCCATGATCGAGGCATATGGGCTTTGTAATCCAATCTATAGTTGGTCGAACTTATTTTGATTTCCCTTTTTTATCGGAAAATTACAAGATTTATATAACGTATTATTATTATTATTATTATTATTATTATTATTATTTATTAATCTAAAATAATTACAAGTGATAATATTTGTTCTAAAAATTCTCAATCATTTAATAACTAATATTTAAATATCTTGCAGTCGTTGATGTTCGAACTCGAAACTTTTAAGGATAATATTAATTCTTTAAACCATTAAAATTGTTTAATTTGTATAATGTAATATTATTTTTGGATAAACGAGTTCTATTTCATTTGAATAAAAAAATTTCTACAAACTGAACTATGCACGTATATTTTCTATACTCATCCCCCACGTACATTGACATTTGTGGTTGCTTTAGAATTTATAAGCCTATTTTTTACTATACATCAACGATCAAATAAAATTAGAATTTATATTGATGTACTTTTTATATTTTTCCCGAGTTCTATAGATGTCTAGTTGCGGATTCACTGTATCTTTTTGTGTGAGTACATATTGAATTTGAAATTCGATTTTTTTATTAGCTAGTAATCTTATTTATGGTGTTTATTTTGAAAATTTATTTGCGTTATTTTCATTCAAAAATTTTGTATCTTATTATATGTTTCGAAATAACAGTTGAAATATGTTCGTTCTTAAAATATTTCTAGAACTACCGAATGCACGCTATGTGATTCGAAATAACAGTTGAAGTGAGTGGCTTCCTCTTCCATGCTTAATGATCCAGTCAAATATATGCTGCGAGCAACAATGATCCAAGTGAAAACCACAAGTTCCAAGATAATCTTCCATAATTACCTTGAAATAATACAGCTTCCAAGATATTCCCTAATTTGTACTTCCTCCATGCATTGGCTACTGCAAGTCTGTCAAGAAAAGCATGCCATGGGATTGTTAAATTGCCCAACACAAGCTTATACCAAAAACTTTGTCCTTCCCATGACTCAATTTCTCCAGAGAGAACCAGATTTTGCCCAAAGATTCCTCCAGTTATTTCAAACTATATGATATTTAATCCACATTCCCTTTAGTGAAACACGTAAATCATCGGAACTTTAATGGGCGAGTTGGATTCTTTTACACTTCGGACTATAGTCAAGTACTCGATAAACAACTACTACATTTATCAAGCACGAGAGTAGAAGTCGTATAATATTCGTATAAATAAATACTCAGCCCCTTCCTGAGGGCGATAAAGCATGCCCTTGACATATTGGCATTGAAATGAATTGAGGATGTCATGTACGACTTTTGTTTGAGAAAAACTATTTAAAAGCTAGATGAATAATCAGGGATGGATGATTAGAATAATCGTTCCCATGGAAATTTTAAATTATTTTATACTATAAATATCTTTTATATTTTTTATTGATAATATGTTTTTTTCCTGAAATTTTATAAGTTAACTCTTAACCTATAATCATACATGTGTGCATGTAAAAAAAATTAAATCTTAGTATAATTGACTAGCTGAGTCTGACATGATTTCCATAACTCAAAAACCATTAATTCCTAGAGCCAGATCCCAACAGGGCATCTCTAACACCTTTATTGTGCAGCTAACAGTCATTCTGCAAAAGCATCTATCATATTCTTAACTTATCTATTAATACGAGAACCTAAAGATTCTATGCTCTTCTCTGGCTTTTTTAACCAGCTTTTAGGTATACATAGATCAAGAAGTATATAAATATTTAGATCTTAATAGTGAGAAAATGGTTCTCATTGTCGATTCCCAAGCTTGATGAAAGTTTCGGAAACTCTGTTGGTGAGCCAAAGAAATTGCAATGGGGTCATGGAAAAAGTAACTGAAAGTTGCTTCCTTTATATCTAGAGTTTGTTTGCAGCAACGATTGACATTGTGGAAAAGATCAGCAGGAAGCTGAATGACACAGAGCTGGCAGAGCTTGGGAGTCCTGTTGGTTCTTCTGAACCGTACACCTTGTCCCCGCCCGGTCCTGTAAAAGGTGGGCTCATCGTAAAGGGTGGGGTTAAGGTAGTGGTATCCGGTGGCGGTAGGGTGGCCGATGGCGTTATGCTGGCTGGCGGAGCAACACTGCATTTACATGTTAAAAGAAAAATATAAGCACGCATGTATTGCCTGTCTTGAAGATTAAACTGACATGAGAGCCGGTTCCATGGTGGTTGTAAGATATTTTTAGTTTTTTACCTTGCCGGTGAGGATGATGCATAGTGACAATTCCCTTTACCTGGATAAATATACAAAAGGTAAATTTTAATTGAAAGAGTATAATTAAACAGTAGTTTAGAAACAATTTTTTTACTGCTATGTCATACTTGGGTCTGTATTTGTAAGCTGAGCAGTGCCTCCAAAAACACAGCTCGTTGGAGCAGGGTGTTTTTGGTAGTAATCATTGAAAGCATAAGAAGCATGATCCTGAACAGTGTTGGGTTCATAACAACTTTCACCAGATTGAATAGCAGAGCAATCCGCACCGCCATATCCGCAAGCATAGTCTAGAGCTACCTGTAGAGCAGTTGGTGAAGCACCTTGATTTGCAATACACCAGGAACCTCCTGATGATGTTGTAGGAGTTGGGGTTTGGGTTGTTGGAGTTGTGATAGGGGTAGTCGGATTGGTGATCGGCTCCGTAGAAGGGGATGTCGAGTTCGGAGTTGTGCCTGGAGTTGTAGGGTTGACAATGGGAGCATTATCTAGTAGTGTGGTCGATATTGAAGGGTCGAGTAGCAACCGGGATTCGCAGTTGCTTTGTTTTCTTTGATTGATTTCTCGGAGAGGAGGTTTCCTGGAAATACTTGAACCTGAAGAGATTAAAAAGCAAGTTAAGTATCGGTTTGACAAAAATTTTCCCGAGAAACATTCACTCATTCAGATGATCATTGTTTCTCTCCATAAAATATCTTCTCTGTTACCATGATCATCACCTACCAATGAAGAAAATCTTAACAAGATTTCCAATAGAAATTTATGAACATGACAATAGACGAACAGACCATTTTAAAGGCATGGATATAAATACTGTAGCATTCACCTGAACATAGGAAGAGATGCAAGAGAGAGATTGTAAGAAACTGAACAAGTCTAAAACCCATGGCTTGAATGTGCTTGTATAGTAGAGCATGTAATGAAAATCTTGTTTAGTAAGAACAATAATGTAGAAGCTAATAGGTATTTATATAATAAAAACAAAGGGCCAATGGAAGTATCGCAAAGAAGGGTCTAGTAATCACCCTTCCATAAAATAAAATAACATAAAATGGAAACATGAAGAATCCAAGCTTCCTTGGATAGAAGATATGGAAACAGAGAAAGCAGAATATAAGAAAACTTGAGAAAGGAGGCATCGGGATGTTGGGATTAGCAAGCAACCAAAAGAAGGGGAAATTAATGTATCAAGTAGGAAAAGGCAAGAAAAAAGGGTTGTCTGCCTGGAATTTAAATCTAGTGCTTCTTAAATCATGTACTATGTGTTTAATTAAGACACTGATGTGTGGGCTGGCTCTCTGTCTGTCTGTCTCTCCTACTGCTTCTAGGACTGAATCAGAAAAAGGCTAAAGGCTGGCAGAGGATATTTTTATTATGATTTTGATACAGAAAAGGGATGCCAACATCTTAATGAAGCAAATGCTTGAAGCTTTTTATTGACACCTTAAACATTACATTTTAAATCTTGCCAAATGTCATCTCTTCTTTCAATTCATAAATTGTAAAGGTAAAGAAAGAAAAAGTAAAGGGGGTAATAGTGTATAAATGCTATGCAAATAACAAAATATATCAACTTCCTCAGCAACAAAAAAATCATTTTTTGTGAAACAAAGCATACATGAGCTGAAATTCCTGTAAGAAATGAGTTAACTACTTTGTATTGATAACTGAGTTTTCTTTTAATTTGATGATGATGATAATAGTATTATATAAAGGATTTTCAGTTGGGGCAATTGCTTCGTTGCCTCGCGGTAAATCCGTCTTGGCAGTCCCTTTTACTTCAGCTGGTATTGTATCCGCTAAAACTCTGAATCCAGCAAATCTCTACTGTAATTTCACTTTGACTTTTTACTGGATTTTCAGATGGGGCATTTGTCAAAAGCCTGCATGCAAGCAAATCAGCTCTTAAGTCTGTATTTTCATCTTGAATCCATCAAGTGCACATACTGGACCAGCAAATCCAGACCATGCCTCCATTTAACTGCAGAATTCCATACCATTTGTATAGTAAATATCTGACCAGGAAGAGGGGGGAAATAGTTGAAAAAGAAACAAAAAAGGACAAGGAAAAACCTTCTTCTAACCCTGTCGAAGTGAATTGCATCTCGACAGATGCTGTGCAACATCACTCCAAGCTGCATATACAGAACTGTTAATCAGATATTGAAGATCGGCCAGTTTCAATTCATTTTTAGTGCTAGGAAATCTAAGGTGGCCTTTGGGTTTACATTTGGAGTTTTGAACACCTGGAAGTAATAAAGATGGATTTTTTTAAATGAGGAACATAGTTTTAGGATTCCTTGCATGAGAGCTCAAGTAATGCAATTAACTCCTCTCCCCTTGAACCGTGAAAGACGTAAACTACCTGGGAAGTTTCTATAGTCAGGTTCTATTCCATTGCCATTGATATCCATCTGATTTGGTGTCACATACTTTCCGACAGTGACAACCACACCAGATCCATCACGAAGTTCGAAGATAGATTGAATTAGACCCTGCAACAGACAATACGGGATTATATCAGATTCTGGAAGACAAAATTTTCAAGATATATAATCAAGGCTAATATTTATTTCCATAAGTTCAATAACTAGATCAGTAAAAGACTTGAACTCAATCCTTTTAGCATGAAAAACTTTAAACACGGCCTTCCATTTGACCAAAATAATGATTCCAGTTTCCAGCCATGAACAAAATTCATTGTGGTCCCCAAAACAGCGAGTCAAAGACACCAAGTAGACAGTTTAAAATTCATTTCAATTTGATTGGGCAGGGGTGTCCATGATAGACAAATGATAAAGAAAAGAGAACTGAGGGGGGACTTGAGTTGCGGCAAATGAGATAAACTGCAAACCTTCCCAAAAGTCCTATCCCCAACAAGAACTGCTCTACAATTATCATGAAGTGCTGATGCAACCTGAAGTAACAAGACAATTTAGAATAAATGCAACTGTGAAAGGGAAATTGCCACTGACATATTAGAAAATGTCTAATGTGGCACCCGAATTTAAGTATATATGTATAATTAGGTACCTAAACTTTCAATTTGTACATCAACCTCCCCATGGCCTTACACTGTTAACAATTATCGATGATGTGGAAGCCAATCAACAAAAAATTGGCATACATGAATATTGCACACGTAGATAACATGGGACTACCACATAACATTATGAGAAAAGGCAAAAAGATAAAATTGGCATACATTTTAAAATTGATTTCTTTGAATAGATATATAGATATATAGATATATTATATTTTAGGAAAATACAACACATAACATAAAAAATCCATTTTAAATAATCTTTCATTTACTCTCCTTTTTCTTCTCTTCCGCTATCCTTCCTCACCAATGACTGGATCATGCCACAGGGATATTGGCTAATCTTCAAAGAGATCGGAAATGGCCTGATCAGTCAGGGCCCACCTAGTCTGGGAAAACCTTGTCAGCTAATGACTAGATCAGTCCATAGTGGGGGAGGATAGGGGAATCAAGGAGAGAAGTCTAAGGGGTTGAGTAAAGGGGGAAAAAAAGCTAAAACTATTTTTTTAACATAGCTAAAAATAATTTTTTAATAAATTATGGAAGCTACTCGGTTGCCACGTATCCCCCGCATGTGTCAAACTACGTAATTAATATAGGGATGGTGTTTGGCCGTTAGGATATTGATACATGGATTGGAAGTTGAGGAAAATACCTGATAAAACATTTTCAAAGTACCATAATAGAAATTTTCTAACAGGTCAGGGGGTATGCAAGACATTATCCCATTGTGAAAAGACAAGCAATCATATATAAGGGGGCAACCGGTCTACTCACAATTTCACTTGCACTAGCAGTTCTGTTATTCACCAAAACCTGCACAGAAGATTACTACCCAGCTGATTTCATCTGAACAACAAATTAAGGACTAACAATTTTACAGGCTTCTCTATGTGTTGCAGAGAACACCAAGTGTTAATTCGTATTTCTACTGTTAAATGTCTAGGTAAGTGCTTGAAAATTCTTATTTTTTCCATGGTTAGAGAAGCCCCGGAAATTCAAATCTACCATGAAGACAGTCACCAATCCAATTCTAGTTCTTTAAGACATTTCTTTTTGAACCACTTCAGCAAAATTAGCACTGACCACTGAATGAATAGAGTTTTCTAGGATCCAATGGGAAAGACATACATTTCATAAAGAACAAACTAAAAGCACAGATATAAGGATGATGAAAAGGTGCGTACAACTACAGGCAATGTAACCAACGGGGTAGTATCAGCAACAACATTATTCTGGTACTGTGGATCCCTCCCAACTGTGTAAATGATCTGCTCAGTTTTACCAGCAAGAAAAAACACCAAAACTACATAATCAGTCATAAAAATCAAATATATGCATCAAAAAATGTTTTTCGTGTAGTAGTTGCATCATATGCGATATACTTTCACAGGGCTAAATACAGGGATGAAGAAAATAGCTCAAAATATATTAAGCATGCACATTTATAAAAATAGAGATTGAGAGAGAAGCGGTCAGCTTTCTTTATAGTTTAAATCGGTAATGAGTGACATACCATCTCCCCTTTATTCAAAAATAGCTTGGAAATTTCAATTCCAGCCTGAAATGCACAAAAACAGATGATTATGGCCAAACATAAATGTCAGATAGAAAGGTAAAACTAACTGGGAAGGCAAAAGCAAACAAACCTGTACTAGTCCTCCAAGATTGTCTCTAAGATCCAAAATGAAATATGAAGCACCCATATCTTGAAGTCGCTTCATTGCTGCAGTGGAGATTATTTCTATTAATCTAACAGAGTATGTAAATAGGAGAAGCAGAAGTCAACCCCATGAACATAGTTAAACTAGTATTAGCATCACAGTTTCAAGCCACAAGACAAAGGATATCAATAGTTGGAGAAACAAAACTCTTAAATCATCAAAGCAGGATAACTATGAATAGAGAAAAAAAATATACTTTTACATGCTTTGATAACTTATGTCTCAAGAAGTTTGTTTAAAGATGGAAGCAACCATTGACCACAAACATGTCATAAACGCTTGTATTCCTTTTTGTGTGCTCAAAACAATTCACTTCCTATTATATAATAAAGTTGGCCCCCATCAATTTGCTTTGTTTATCACTATAGCTTCAATTCCGGAAGCAGTATGTATGTGACAGTGCGAGGGAGAAAGAGGGAGGGTAATAGACAGTCATATGACCCATATCTCGCACTAATTTCCAAAGACTAAAAGACACATAAATAATAAAATAAATTTTAATTTTGTTCATCACAAACATGTTTATAGGAAATAGCAATCAAGCAACATCCACTAAAAAAATAAACATTACCAATGACCAAATCTTTTCTAGCCAAGGCATTGAACTCTTTTAGCCTCATATACCCAACAGAACTGGAGCCGTTATTAATTTGTTCCAACCGATAGAAAACAGGTGTTCGAGCAACAAGTTGTCTTTGGATTTCTAGGGATTCAGTAGGTCCACAATTGCCATGCCTGACCTAAAATTGAGGGTGGATCATTGGATGAAGATGGAACATCGATAAAGATTAACAATGAACTGCTATATTCACAAGGGTAAAAAAGAGCACAACCTTAATGGTCACAAAGGTTTCATTAGGACCTTGTAATAAAGATGATACTTCAAAGGCTGATTTCCCCATGACATCTTCTCCATTGACAGCTAAAACTTCATCTCCCTATAAAAAGAAATTACTAACATTAGGACACGTATCAACCATGCACATGTACACTACAGAGAAACATTAAATCAACACTTGCAAATACAACCTTCCAATTTCGCTGCAAAATACAAGATAATTATTTATCCTATTAAATAAGTTAGGCACCACCAATTTTCACTCTCCAGTCTCCATAATATCATTGTTCTCCTGCAATCACTCTCACCCTCCACATCTTGGATTTGTAGTTCTACTCACTTTTTCATCGAATACCATTCAATGCAAAAAAAAAAAAATTATACCTATGACTTGGCCATTCATATAAGTCCATGTAAAACTGGGATGTTAGAAAAGTGGGAAACAGCACCAAGTCAGCTAAGCAGTAACCAAAATATCAGAATTTCTTTTTTCTAAGGATAAATGACCAGGAAAAGGTACTCAAAATAAATATGTAGTTCGTTGTTACAGCCAAACGAGAAATTGACCAATGCAAGTATTGCAGTTGCAGTACTACGGATATACTCGACCTGTCTTACTCCCGCAGTATGAGCAGGTCCATCCAATATAAGTCCTTGCACCTTCAGTTTTACGCCTCCAATAGCATCTGAAACTTCCCTAATGTTTATTCCAATACCAGTGATGTCATACCTCGCCATCTTCGAGAACTTTCAAAGGTGACAAAAAAGTGACCCGAAATGCCAATTGCCATGTAAAAAGGGGAAAAAACTAAAAAATCCATAAGTAAAATATGTAAAGCTTTAAGGTGATTTAGTAAAGAATTACCTCGGCTGGTGAGAGGAATCGCGTGTAAGGGTCGCCTAAACTTGCCAGCATTCTTTTGATTAACTCGTGAGCCTTAGACCTCGTTTGAATCGAAGTCCCCAAAATATCCTCTCTTTTTTGCTTCGACAATCAAGTAATATTTTTATAAAAATGGGAAATTTTAGCCACAAAAAGAAGATAAGAATAAAAATTTACCTCCCATGATAGAGGAGACCAACGGTGGCGACCAGTATCAAGAAAGCTATCATTAACGATCTGCCAAGCTTCTTGTACGATTTCTTCGTTGGTGACGAATTCAGGTTTGAGCTCAACCTTATCTTCTTCTTCTTGTAGTTGTTCATTTTCTCCGGTGCAACGATCGGGTAGCGGAGTTGAAGCTTGAGGTGGTCGAGGAGATTGAAAAGACTGCGATTCTCTGGAGAGGGAAGGAGATGGGGAAGAAACTAAGAGAGTTAAGGAGAGAGCACCGGTAAGTGCGGTGACCAGGGTTTTCTTGGCCCAAACAGCGGCGCCCGTGGGAAATGAAGGTGGTTTCTGAGGTGGCGTTGGGGTGAGTGAAGGTGGAGAGTTGAAGTTGCAGAGTAGGATTCTCATCCTCTTTCTTTTGGATAGTAAAGAGATGGGGTTAGAGTCACTGCTGACTTCATAGAAGCTATATACTGTTTGCATTCGCGTGTGAATTCAAAGGTGGAAAATAAAAAGTGAAAAGATTTAATGTATAAATTACTCTTTTTTTTTTATTAATTTTAGATAAATAAAAGTTTATTTATGTTTAAAGATAATTATTAATCGGTTGACATTTATATTTCTAATATTATTGATACTTTAATTTGAGACGTTAAGAAATAATAAAAATTCTTTTATAGTTAAACTCACTTCATCCATATTAATGTCTAAATTAGTTTCTAAAGAATAATATTATTTTTAGTGATATATATATATATATTATTGTATCATAAAATTAATATTTTATTATGAATTTTTTTTAAAAAATTTAGAGGGTTTATGTTTTATATTCATATTTTGATGTGTTTCCTCTAAATATTTATATAAATTAATTGAAACATGAATGGGCTGAAATAAATTATATTAATTTTTCAATTGACATCACTTATAAATTCAATAAATAAAATTTTCTTTTTACGTAAAAAAATAAAAAAGAACATAAAATAGTGCCACACATCATTACAAACAACATTAATTTGAGTTCGAGGAAAATAACGTGACCTTGATTGGGTACCACAATCATTATCGAGAGGACAATAAGGTGAAGGGTAATTACTCATCTTGGCTTAATAATAAAACTCGTCTACAAATTACACAGTTTGTTCATTTAGATAACTTTTGATGATAAGTATTATAATTTTTTTCTTAAAAGTATATTTTATTATTATTTAGATTTAGGTAAATTATATGTTTAGTATCTAAATTACTGGTTTTTAATCTGTTTTAATACCTACATTTTTTGTCAAAATTATAACCAGCGTTTACTTTTTGTATTATTTTAGTATATCACCGTTAAAAACTTAACAACACACCATTTTATGGTTAAATTACATCATTCATCACTTAATTATCTTCTCACTCACATTTTAGTATTAAAACCAACTCCAGCACTGCGCTGGAGTGGACTTCAATCTCCACTTTGGAGACTCCAACCCATCGCCACATCTTATCTTCACTTTGGAGTGGCTATAGTTACACGCTACATCTGACGTGTAACTGTGGCTGAGCTACATAATTTTTTTGTTGTTTTTATTTTTTATTTTATTTTTTTGTTATTTTATTTCTTTTCTTTTCTTTGTTACATTATCTTCTCTTATTCTATCTTTTATTTTTTTATTGTAATTTATACATAATAAAATAAAAATTAAACATAATATAATATGTATTTTCACAATGTTATTAATGAATGTTTTATTTATGTTTTTTATCTTGATATTTATTAGAAATGTATATGTTTGATTTTATATTTGCAAAATCAATATTATAATAGTTAAATATTTTGAATAAAGTAGAGTTGGTGTTAATGTAGAGATAGTGCTGGAGATGAATTATTGTTTCATCTTTAGAACAGATGTAGAGATGTATAGTAGAGATGAGGGTTGTAGATGGCCTAAAGAAATTTTCAATTTAACTACTCAACTTTCAAATTGCTCATATTTTAATCACTCTAATTTATTTTTTTAATAATTTTTTGACATGATAATTTTATTATTATTTTATTATTATATAATTAAAAATAAAAAATAAATTTGAAAGTTAGAGTGATTAAATTTGGAGTAATTTGAAAGTTAAGTAATTAAATTAAAAAAATAAACTTTAGTATCCAAAATAAGAGTGAAAGATAGTTGAGTGATGAATAATGTAATTTGCCCATAAAAAGTCAGATTGGATATAAATTTTGACTTAAAATATGGAATCAAATTATAAATGAAGGAAAATTTCTTTTCATTAATTTTTTGGGATGAATTTGAATGGGACAAAAATCCGACCATTGCCGTAACTGATAATACATCCTTGTAAGAGTGAAAACAAGTTCTTTAAAGAACGTTAAATGGAAGAGTTGATTTTATACTAAAAACATGTTAAATTTGTTTGTTTTTTTAACTGGAAAGGTTTTTTTCCCTCATTAAAAAAATGGAATAAGAATAAATTTGGATAAATACGCGGCCACAACCCCAGAGGGTTTTCGCCTCGGAGACAAGAAAATAACTTCCCTTCTTTTATAAAGCGTTGTTTCGACATTCTTCCTTTACCTCTTCGTTGTTGCCTGCTGGTGCGTGCTTCCTTTAATTTCCATCGAGAAAACCGTGAGACAACAAGCTCAAAACGTAAACGACATCTCAGATCTGAGAGAAGACGAAGCGGAACTGTTTGGAGAGGGGTACCCAGTGAGAGGATGAGCGGGAAAGGAGGAGGGGTGGTGGTGGTGGTGGAAATAATGGGTTAGTGAAGGGTTCAGGTATTCTGATAGGGTCTCAGAATATGGTTTAGAGTGTCGACACCGTTTTTCATTCGGGCGGAGAAAGACCGTTAACGACTCGGGATTTTCTCTTTTGAAAAGAATTTCGAAATGTGAGGAGTCGCCACCAATCATTTAAGGTGAGATTGGACCACCGTAAAAACCAGATGATTTTAATAAAACGTTTTATTTTTATCAAAATATCGAGTTTTGGGGTCTGCGAAAAATCCATAAATCAGGTTCGGGAGTCGGTTACGCGTAGGGAAGGATTAGCATCCCCACAAGCGTCCAAAAATTGGTACTTAGTTGATTACCCTATATTTAAAATTAGAAATCTTGAGTTCGATCTTTATTTAATTTAAAAATCATTACGAATGCAAAAGTTGAAAAGAGCCTTCGTTTATTAAAACTGATAACATTCGCTCCCAAACGTAAATATAGGAGATGTTACAAGGATTTTGAAATATTCTAAAATATATAACATAAGACTAGAATTTTAATTTATTCTAAAATATATATTTTTTATATATAAAAATAACTAATATTACTCACGATAGAAAATATCTTAAATTATAATAAAGATTTTTAATAATTGTAAATTAAACACATGATTAGGATAATTTCTTATAATCATTAAAACAAAACTTAAGATCACATAAAAAGTCTAACTAAGAATTTCGAACAAATATATATACAAACAGATTTGATCGTGTAGACAAACGAACTACAAAAAGGGATCAAGTTATTGAAATTTCACAAACAAACCGCAAACTGGACTCGAAAGATGTAAAAAACTATTCACAAACGCAAATCAGATATTCAAATCTAATTCTGAAGGTCCAAGGCAGAGAAGATCAACAAGATATCATATAAGCGTCCTCGTGATAAGTCGTGGCGATGCCAAATCAACACTTAGAAAAAGATAAATGAAAACGTAAATCAGATATTCAAATCAAATTCTGAAGGTCCAAGGCAGAGATCAACAAGATATCATATAAGCGTCCTCGTGATAAGTCGTGGCGATGCCAAATCAACACTTAGAAAAAGATAAATGAAAAAATGGTCAAATGATAAAAAAAACATTCCAAAAGACAAAAGAAAACGTGTCATATAGACAGATTTGTTGAAAATAAAAAAATAGAAATGTAATATAAGAAAAGAAAAAGATAATAAAGAATATAATGGTCAACAACTAATATTAAAATTAGTATCGTTATCGATCTAAAAAAACAAAAAAGAAAACGAAATGAGCGACACACCAATAAAAAAAATTAAACTTTTTTAAGTTATGTATATCATTTATTTTAATATATGTATTGTTAAATATTATAAATACAAATATAAAGCTAAAAATTTTATTTAGACTTATGTTAAAAATTATTTACTTTGATATCGTCTTCAAACTTGATAAGACAAAATTTTAAAAGTGAATTTTAATGAAGAATGAGATTTAACAAATATATTTATTTTGTTGTTTAACTTTAAAAGTTATGGTAATCATTTCTTAGAATATTCTCTCTAACGTTAGAACATAAAATTTTCTTAATTAAAGATACAATTTAACTTCAAAAATAATTATATTTGTCTTCAAATTATGATCATCAGTCTAAATTGGTACTTAAATTTTAAAATATTCTATATTAGTACTTAAACAATGACTATTATTTTAAACTTGTTCATAAACTTTAAAACGTTTATATCAATCCTCAAATTATCAATATTATTTGATTAATATATTATTAATTTTATTAGTTAAAAAATGAAATGACATTGATACTTGAAGGACTAATATAAAGTATTTTAAAATTTAAGAATTAATTTAGAATGAAATTATAATTTTAAGATCAAACAAAATGATAAGTGAGCCCATCTCGTTTGATGTACGAAATCCGAGCATTAGGAACCCGACCTAAATCATACACGTCAAAGACTGGAACTGATTCAAACTCAGTGAGTCGCCCACGAACATGATCTTCTTCCCTCTCCATTTCCTCAAGAAATACACCCCATTGAACCTACACAATTCAAAAAATCTCTCAAAAAAAACTCTATACATGAATGGAATTGATGTATCGTAATCACTTACCTTGGGAGACTACAGGAGAAGGGTTGCTATCGGTACTTGAGATAATTGTTATCGGGTCGGTCATACTTTTGGCAGAAGAATTCGGGCTCGATAAATGGGCATTTGAAAGGGTCGTAGAGAAGATATGAATGCGTATGAACGGAATCGATGTATCGTAATCACTTACCTGGGGAGACTGCAGGAGAAGGGCTTCCATCGGTACTTGAGATAATTGCTATCGGGTCGGTCGTACTTTTGGCAGAAGAATTTGAGCTCGATAAATGGGCATTTGAAAGGGCCGTAGAGAAGATATGAATGTGTTGTTCCCCAACCTAGATTCAAATCAACCATTATTAACCAAACACAATCAATAAGCCATCAAATCAAAAGATCTAACTCACCAGAAAGCTAACCGAAGTGAGCCTTTTTCTGACAAAAGAGAATTGATGAGAGGTCAAATGTGCTGGAGAGAGATGAAAAAGAATGAGAAAGCAAAAATGAATGTATTTCTCACGAAACGCGGACTAATATACAGTTAATATACGGCATGATTAGATATATTAAAAGATATTTAAAAAAGTAGGTTTAGTGTTTTCAGAAATGTTGAGT